TTCAGTGTTGTGTGTTAGCAAAAACAAAAACCCCAAGATGGAAGAAACAAGTTTTTGATAACCACTTGCTCCATAAATGAATAAATAGACCATATAGGTCATCCAGTCAGTGAGCAGAATTAATCCCCTGTCCTTTCAAATGGCTGGAAAGAGACCACCAAATGGGAAGCGTGTATTGTCATGCTATTTCTTTCATGCTATTTCTTTCAAGGGGGAACACGATGTGAGGGCTAGCTGTCCTGTGGACACTTTTTGTTAGAGAAGTTGCATTCTCTTCCTGTTTTTGTTTCTAAGCATTTCCTAACTTTAAACTTCCTTTATTCTAAGAACAAGTTTTCATGCAGGTTTCCAGAACACTTTTGCAGTGCAAGGTTTTGTCCTTTCCTTTGAGAGTGATGCCTCAGCACCTCATGGCCTAAAGAACCTGTGATTCTTGCTCTTTGCTTACTGGCTGTGCTTCAAGGAGGCTGTATCCTATCACTTGATTAAATGTAATTGTTTCTGCTTTGTAATTCAGAAACAGAGCAGCAGTGGTCATTATGTTGTGTCAGGATTAAAAATCTAGCACTGATACAGCAGTTGAAGTCCTTGAGATGTGTCAAAAGCATTTTCACAAACGAAAAGAAGAAAAAGTGAAATTATACTTCATACTATTTGTGGAAGTTGCAAGTTCCTGTATTCTAAACTTGGATAGACTGGTATCTCTGGTGAAATTTGCGAGTGCTGAAATACATTCTTGTGAAGCGTGTTATTCTGAAGCCAGTGTATTGCTTTTGCATGGACTGGAAGTACTGACACTTCTTGTCTCTGAACTATAGTAATTTTAGATTAGTATTCCTTTATTAATTTAAAAATGTGAAGAGAACAGAATAGACAACTACTTGTAACCACAGAATCACAGAATATTCGGAGTTGAAAGGGACCTCAAAAGATCATCCAGTCCAACTCCCCTGCCAGAGCAGGATCACCCAGACCAGGTCACACAGGAACGCGTCCAGGCAGTTTTGAATGTGTCCAGAGAAGGAGACTCCACAACCTCTCTGGGCAGCCTGTTCCAGTGCTCTGTCACCCTCACAGGAAAGAAGTTTTTCCTTACATTCAGGTTGAACCTCCTATGCTCCAGCTTGCTCCAGTAATCATAATGACCCTGTCATTTTGATAACAACCATTTAGTTTTTATGTTGCTGACATAATTTAAAAGCCATCAGTGGGCATGGTAAAGTTAGATAACAGTTGGACTTCATGATCTTAAAGGTCTTTTCCAACCATAACAATTCCATGATTCTATGACACAAGTACTTTTTTATTTTGGGGTAAGGTTTTCAGATATTAACAGAGAAGTTGTAGCCTTCAGTAAGAGTCTATGCAGAAAAGAGAGATTTGCTTTTTCTGTTAGGTATGTGTCACTGTTTTTGCAGGTTTCTGTGGTTAAAAGTTAAGCAGAATCAACAAAAGTACACTTGAAGGTGGGGAAAAAAAAGGGTTTTTTCCCTCGTGTTATCTGAAGTGTGGTGACAGGAGATCTGCTTTAGATTTGGCACAGCTTTCTCCCCTACCAGGGAACAAGGGTTGGATCAACGTTTGCTTTTGACTAAGTTGAGGACGCAATTGCCATACTCCTGTTAAGTGCATTATTATGGATACTGATATTCTAAACTCCTACTGCTAAACAATGTAATAATCTTTTATCAATGTAAACTATGATGGTTCAGTATTTTGCTGCAAGTTACAGATTTATAAATAAGGATCCAGAGAAATGTATTGGAAACCAGCTAAATCAGAATGGAGCCTGATTCAGTGTTCTTCAGTCCAGAATTTCACAATGCAACCTGATGAGAAATCAGATTGAATTAAATAAATTACATGTATATAAACTAGCAAGTGGGATCCAGCAAGGGAAAGA